TGCCGTGGCATCACAGCTCACAGCAACCTCCAGCTCCTGGGCTCAAGCGAGTCTCCTGCCTCAGCCTCCCACAGGTGCCCGCCACAATGCCTGGCTATTTTTGTTTTTTTTTTGGTTGCAGCTGTCAATGTTTGGCAGGCCCAGGCTGGATTTGAACCTGCCGCCTTAGGTGTATGTGGCTGGCGCCTTAGCCACTTGAGCCACAGGCGCCAAGCGAATTCCTTTAAATATCTTTGTTGATACATCTTGGTCATACTAAACCCAGGCTGAAGGAGTGTGTGCACTCTTTGTCTTAGTATGTCTTTTATGCCAAGTGCCAACATGTGGCTGCTGACCAAAGGGGCTGGGTTCTGAGTACCTCTTTCTCTGGCCAGTCTCTAATTTTCTACTTGTTTGTCCTAGGTCAGTTACTACTTTCCCTTGAAGACCTTGTGGAGGTCATTTTTCGCAGCCCTAGTGGCAGCCTTCACACTTCGATCCATCAATCCCTTTGGAAATAGCCGCCTTGTTCTCTTCTACGTGGAATATCATACGCCCTGGTACATGGCTGAACTCTTCCCCTTCATCCTGCTTGGGGTCTTTGGGGGCTTGTGGGGAACTCTCTTTATCCGCTGCAACATTGCGTGGTGCAGGAGGCGTAAGACCACCAGGCTGGGGAAATACCCAGTGCTGGAGGTCATAGTGGTAACTGCCATCACTGCCATCATCGCCTACCCCAATCCCTACACACGCCAGAGCACCAGTGAGCTCATTTCTGAGCTGTTCAATGACTGTGGGGCCCTGGAGTCTTCCCAGCTCTGTGACTACATCAACGATCCCAACATGACCCGGCCTGTGGATGACATTCCAGACCGGCCAGCCGGGGTCGGGGTTTACAGGGCCATGTGGCAGCTGGCCCTCGCACTGATCTTCAAAATCGTTGTTACCATATTTACCTTTGGCATGAAGGTAAGTGAAAGGGAAGGAAGCTGGGGTGGGGAGCTATGTTCTTCTGGGGACAGGACCATACTCTCCAAAATAAAATTAATGACTTTTCACAAAATACACACTTGTGTAACCAGCACCCAGGATCAGAAGCAGAACATTACCAACCCTCAGGGTCCCCTGTTGCATTCCATTCTATTACTGTTCCTTTCTGTGTAGTATTTCTATGAACTTTCTCTTTAAAAAAAGAAAAAAACTAAGAAATGGTGTGCCTAAGGGTGTAGTGGCCAAACACAAACTTGAATTTGTGCCTTAAGAAGAAGGAAGTGTGGATGTATTAAACAATTGACTATCTCTGATCCATCAACTCCTAGCAAAGGGATATATTTTCATGCCTGAAGAAGATGCTAGTAGCACCTTTTGGTGCTTGTTGAGAGAAGCCTACTTTGGAATTATAGGGGTTTAAATGACTGCAGAATAAGGGGAAACTCAGAAAGATACGATTTTCTTTTTTCTTTTTTTTTTTGAGACAGAGCCTCCACCTGTCCCCCTGGGTAGAGTGCTGTGGCTTCACTGCTCATAGCAATCTCCAACTCCTGGGCTCAAGCGAGTCTCCTGCCTCCGCCTCCCAAGTTGCTGGGACCATTGGCGCCTGCCACAACGCCTGGCTATTTTTTGGTAGCCATCATTGTTTTTTGGCAGGCCTGGGCTGGATTTGCACCTGCCAGCTCAGGTGTATGTGGCTGGCACCTTAGCCGCTTGAACTACAGGCGCCGAGCTAGAAAGATAAAGTTTTCTAAGGGATGTTCCAAACTCTAGAAATCAAAGAACAACGGCTACAACCAAAAAAATAGCCGGGTGTCATGGTGGGCACCTGTGGTCCCAGCTACTTGGGAGGCTGAGGCAGGAGACTCACTTGAGCCCAGGAGTCGGAGGTTGCTGTGAGCTGTGATGCCAGTGCACTCTACCCAGGGGGACAGCTTGAGGCTCTGTCTCAAAAAAAAAAAAGAAATCACACATGAGGATCCAAACTTAATTTGAATTAGGCTAAAGATCTGCTTCCATCCTCAGATGGGTGGCCATCTGGGCAGGCATAAGTGTGGCTGCTGTTCAGGATCAGTGGTCACATGTAACATCAATGAATGCGGGAGTCAGGTGTGTTCTATAGCACACGTATGGTCACTAGATAAACAAAAATGTATTTTCGTTAAGCAAAGTAGAAAACATGCTACTACCAAGATTTTTTAGTTTACACTCTCTTTGCTGCCTCTACCCTGGCTTGAAAATATTCCAAATATTTCTTGGAAAATGCACCTTGTTAGGAGGGGGGAGTTGCTTCCCTCATCTCTCTCTGATAGGTGTTTGGCCACCACCTACTATAAAGGGCAGTGAGCACTTGAATAGCTTTTTGCAAGATCTAGGGTAGTTACAAGGACACATTCAGCTTCTTTATTTCACCTGAGAGCAATTGGAGGTCCTTCTTTTCCATTTTCATGCTGTGGCTTGACATTTAATTTTAAAAGCCAGTCTGAATGACACGGCAAGGGGAGAGAGAAAGTGGTGTCTCAAGTGACAGATTCAAGCTTTGAATGTTATTTGCAGTGGGGCTTATCATTCTTTAATCCTCAGCAGGCAAACCGGGCCAGCTTTTGAAGGAGAGGGAATGAAAGTGTAAAATTGCATTCTCTCCAAGTTACAGTAGATAGGACTGACTAAGCAGGTCAGACCACTTGTCCTACCTTTTCCCAGTTGACCTATTTTGCAGAGTTGTGTCTCCTTTGAAGACTGAAGCAAAACGGAAGCAGGTCGAGGGGGACTGTGTTTCCCAGTGGTTATAAAGCGGGAACCTGGCCTCCTTGCCTCACACTACTTTTCTCTGTGTGCCCCCTCAAGATCCCGTCGGGCCTCTTTATCCCCAGCATGGCTGTGGGAGCAATGGCAGGCAGGATGGTAGGAATTGGCGTGGAGCAGCTGGCCTACCATCACCACGACTGGATTATCTTCAGGAACTGGTGCAGACCTGGGGCAGACTGTGTCACACCAGGACTTTACGCTATGGTGGGAGCTGCAGCCTGCCTAGGTATGACCACACAGGTGGAGCCAAGGAGCAGGGTGAGGGGTGGTGATCTGCCTCCGAGGACTGGCAAGAAGGAATACATGAACTTGAACATTTGCATTCCTCTGGATAGGTTAGGTTGTGCTGCTGCTATAAGAAGTAGATGCCTAAAGCTCAGCGAGTTAACACACCAAAGGTTATAGTTTGTTTACCAGGTGCTCCTTGACTTCCAGTGGGGTTATATCCTGATAAGTCCATCATAAGTTGAAAATATCCTAAGTAAAAAATACACTTAATACATCTAACCTACTGAACATCATAGCCTAGCCCAGCCTACCTTAAATGTGCTTGCCTACATTTACATTGGCCTATAGTCAAGCACAATCACCTACCACAAAGCCTGTTTTATATTAAGTGTTGACTATCTCATGTAAACTATTTGATAAAAACCAAAATGGCTGTGTGTCCCACCCAAGGGCAGGGTCTGCTGAGACCTGTGGAACTGGTGCGACTGACGGAAGAAATACAAAGTTAGGAATGATGATAAAGAAAGAGACACAAGACACAGAATAGAATTTTCAAAGGTGGGAGCTCAGGGGACCACCGCCTGTTCGTGGTTTCCAGTGAGTGGCTCTGAGTCTCTGTTCCACTCAGCTTTTATTCAAATCTCTTTGCCCAGGTGGTAAGCTGAGGGAGGGAACAAAGACACCTGCAGTTTCTCTGAGTGAGCATATCAGCTCCTATTGTTATTATTAACTAAGAATTTGAGCAGTTTTGAGGAATCTGAAGTTTGAGCCTTGTGTGGGGAAACCTGTCTGGAGTCACACACACATAGATTCCTAGGGAGGTGTTAAACTCCACTAGTTCACTGTGGAGTAAGATACCACTGGCGTTAATCTCTGCAGAATCGGTGGGAAAGAGGCATTTTCCTCTCATCACCACCACAGAGGATTTTCCTCTGTGATAAGGGATGTAAGCCCTCCTGCCCATATTTCAGGGCTTGAGTTGTTCCCTTGGTCTTTGCCTCAGCCAAATGCCAATCTCCACAATGGGTATCTGCTTTGTTTGTTTAATGGGCAGGAAAGGACCTAGAAGATGTTTTTTTCCTAGGTCTTGCCATAATCTCTTTTATGGCCATTATCTTCCTCAGAGTGTTCACAGACTTAGCAGGATATTGGAGTAAGCTGTATCCCCAATAGGCCAGAGTTTCAGGAAAGGCCAGAAAATTGTTCAGATACAAAATGGCTAGCTTAAAGGTAAATTAGCTGACTTTTCTTTGTTCTGACTCTTTCAGCTTCCTTTTTAATTTTCCCTTTTTCTGGGGGTGCCTCCCCTGCCAAGAATGGGGTCTTCGGTTCCCATTCTGCCTGCATATGGGTACCTGAAGTAAGGTTTCTACTGTATGCATGTGGCTTTTATACCATCATACAGTTCAAAAATCATAGGTTGAGCCGTCATAAGTCAGGGGCAGTCTGTAAAATAGAAAACATGGGTTAACAGAAGGTTTTCCACACATTCAGGGACACAGAGGTTGGTCCCTCTCTTGTCTACAGTGCCTGAGAATCTCTATGATTTTCTGGTGTGTAGGGCTGTGGGCGAGCACCATGTTTGCTCAGTCAGAAGCCTGCAGAGCCCGTGTAGGATCTATTTCCTAAAAAGCAAGTCACGTAGGCATGGGCAGATAGCTACCCTGTGCTGCCTCACTGGAGCAGAACCCTAATCTGCGACTTGCAGCTCCCTGACTCCAGGTTACATTTGACTGAGCCCAGCCTCAGTTCCAGAGGCCCAGCATGGGCAGCCTGTGGGAATGGCTCCTTAGAACTATATCATGAGGAGAATTTATAGCCTGCCTATTAGTGTCCCTGAATCCTGCCCTCATGAAGGGCTGGGGTTGTGCTTCAGAATCTTACTCCTCTCTTCCCTTGAAGGTGGAGTTACCAGGATGACAGTGTCATTGGTGGTCATCATGTTTGAATTAACGGGTGGTCTGGAGTACATCGTGCCCCTGATGGCGGCAGCAGTGACCAGCAAGTGGGTAGCAGATGCCTTTGGGAAAGAAGGCATCTATGAGGCCCACATCCACTTAAACGGGTACCCATTTCTCGACGTGAAGGACGAGTTCACACACCGAACGCTGGCCACCGACGTCATGAGGCCCCGGCGGGGAGAGCCACCTCTGTCGGTGCTCACCCAGGACAGCATGACAGTTGAAGATGTGGAAACGCTCATCAAGGAGACTGACTACAACGGCTTCCCCGTGGTGGTCTCCAGAGACTCGGAGCGCCTCATTGGGTTTGCCCAGAGGAGGGAGCTGATCCTTGCAATAAGTGAGTAAAGAGCGGGACACTCAGGCTTTCCTGAGAGATGAGTGGCAGACTTTGTCCCCCTAAAATCACGCAAGAGGTTTGAGAACATGCACATTAAGCTTTAATGTATCTGTGCCCCCTGGGATCTGGTTAAAATGCAGATTCTGACTGAGCAGGCCTGGGGTAGGACCTGAGACTACATTTCTCATGATCTCCCCATGCATGGTGGTGCTGCTTGTCCCCAAGTCACACTGAGGAACAGGTTTTAATGGAGTCTTAGGGTAGACGTTGTTTGGAAAGTGAGCACTTGTTTGCAAGCAGCTACTGGGGCCCTGCTCCTCTAGGAGGCAAGCAGCAGCTGTGGCCTGTTTTGGGACTTGTTGGATGAGTCTGAGAAGGGAGAGAAGGTGCGAGAGCCTGGAGTAGCTTGGGCTAAGCGGGTGTCAGAGGGACTTTTAGCAGACAAACCAATAGGCTGAGATTGCAAGGCTCTGCTCAGACACCTCCCTTATTACTACATGAGTCTTTTGCTTCACTTCCTGATATCATATCTGATTCTGCCAGTTAGAAGCCCTTGTGGATGACCGAGCAGCCAAGGCTAGAAATCAGGAGCATGTGATGGTTTCCCTCCTCGTGTCTGAATTACAGTGGGCTGTGCAGAGGGGCAAGCTTTTGAGTTGTAGGAGGGGAGAGGGGATGATATCCTGGGTGGGGTACAAAGACAGGTGGCTCAGAGAAGAAACCCTATGGGCCCCATCAGCCTAGGGACAGCTGCCTTGGAAGGGTAGCAGGAGGAAGGAAGATTCCAAAGATAGGGGCTCAAGGGCTACAGGTCTGGGTGTAAGTCTTGGGAGCCCTAGGCAAGGAGGAGCAGTGATCCTAGGAGGGATGAGATCCCACTGGACCTCAAGATGCAGCAGGGTCAGGGAGCAGCTGAGCTCATTCACAGACATGTGGCAGAGGCGGATGCCATCCCACTCATCCTTGCTCCATACTGTTCACAGCATCCTAGCATCCAGTGGCAGACTGGGGCCTATGGGATGGCTCATGTATGCGCTTGACAATTTCTTTTTTTTTTTTTTTTTTTT